TCGCATCGCGGGCCCCGTTCTCCCCCCCTCGCATCGCGGGCCCCGTTCTCCCCCCCCTCGCCATCGCGGGCCCGTTCTCCCCCCACTTCACAGCGTGGGCCTCTTTCCCCGCCCCCCGGAGCCAGCCAGTCCCCACCCCCCCCCAGGGCCGGGTGGGAGCTGACGGCATCTCTGCTCTCTCCCCAGTGCCAGCTCTCGGCTCTGGAGGGCATCAAGGCCTGCATGACCTGTTACCCGCGGGCCTGCGGCTCCCTCCGGGTAAGTCTGTGGGGCAGGGGAGGGGGCGCCGTGGGGCTCAGTGCCCGGCTGCTCACCCACTTTTTCTCCTCACCCCCAGGGCAAACTAGCTGCCTATTTCCTGTCCCGAGTGGATGCTGATTCGCCCCAACTGCAGCAGGTACTGGAGGGGCGCTGGTGGTGGGGGGAGCTCTGGGAGCTGGCCCAAGGCATGCTGGGAATACCCCCCCCCATATAGCTTCCCCCCCTTTCAGATCGGTGTGGTTAAATCCATCTGTCTCCAGGGGGAGCTGGGCCTGCAGGGATCCGCACAGTGGGGCAGATGGGTGGGGGTCTCTGCCAGGCTGGGAGGGGCCGCACTTGGAGGGGAGCTGTGGCGGGGGGGGGGTTGCTCCCCCAGGACGTGGGGAGAGATGGGGGGAGCAGGTGAGGGACGGGTGGGGCAGGAGGCGGAGCTGTCCTGTGACACGGGGGACTTTGGGCCTGGGGGTGGCTGGGGATCAGCCCCCTGGGGCGTGGGGAGTTGGGAGGGGTGGGGGATAGGAGCTGATGCGGGGGCTCTCCCCTGGCCGGGGGGTTGCTGACACCATCTCCCCCCCCCGGCAGCTGGCGTGCGAATGCTACGCGCTGCTGCCCTCGCTGGGCGCCGGCTTCACCCAGGGGCTGAAGCACACAGAGTGCTGGGAGCAGGAGCTGCACGGCCTGCTGGCCACGCTGCACGGCCTGCTGGGAAACCTCTACGAGGGCGCCGAGACAGGTAAGGGGGGGAACCCAGGCGTCCGGCGGATCGGAGCCCCCATCAGAGCTCCCGGGGGGCAGACGCCAGTGGGGGGGGGTGTGAACCCAGGCGTCCGGCGGATCGGACGCCCCCATCAGAGCGTCCCGGGGGCAGACGCCAGTGGGGGGGGGTGAACCCA